AACGAACACATTGTTTTCCTTCAAATTAAGATGATCTACACTTCCTACTTTGAGTTAAAGAATAGGATTAGCAAATGATGCTTTTTGTGGTAGATAATGCACATTTTGATGTTATCTGAAAGTTGTCAGATATCCTGTTTTCGCTAAGTCTGAAGAAAAGTTAATGATTAAGAAGTTCAGTGACTCATGTCTATTTAGTTTTATTTCTTAAGAATAGTTACTCTTACAATTTAAGATACAGAACAGGGAATGAGAACAGAAAGCAACTTTGCTGCAGAATAATTTTAACCAGTTAGGTGCCTTCAGTCAAAGGTGCAATCTACAATAAAGCTGGTAGGAAATTAAGATGTTAGGTGGGTTTTTTTTTGGTACCAGGAATCGAACTTGGGACCTTGCGCTTGCTACTGAGCTAAATCCCTGGCCCGAGGAAATTAAGATGTGATCTGCAAGACTTAGAGATTTTTAAAATCAACTTTAAGCAAGTAGCTGGGCTTGGTGGCAGATATCTGTAATTCCAGCACTTAGGAAGGTTAAGGCAGGAAAATCAAAAGTTTGAGCCCAGCTTGGCCAACTTAATGATTTAGGGAGACTGTCTTAAAATCAAAAAGGGACTCAGTACGAAGGCCCTGGGTTCAGTCTCCAGCACTATAAATAAATAATTGAAAAAGCGAGTGAAGCTACAACATTTTATGTTTCCCTTGGTTATAGTGTCCTCTTTTCTATTTGTGGTCTGTATTAGCTCCTGTCCCCATCTGTGTCCCATAAATGTAGTCTTTCAGATACCTGAATGTGAAAAGACTTTGAACAAATTTTATTGATTACATTTTGGTGGATGGGGACTTTCACCTACTCCTCATTTAGCCCAACCTTAGCCCGTCAAATCTTTTGAAACCTGTCCCACCTCCTTTCTTTCCTGATTGATTTAAGGGTGTGATTCTAAGGCATAAATGTACTTTATCTCTCTTTTACCTTTCTAAACTGTATAGCTATGGAGACTCCTAATCACCATTCAGCTTAACCATATGTTTTATCCTCAGTTCTTGGTTTCTTTTTTGGGAGGAGGGGGGTGCTAGGGATCGAACTCGGGTCCTTGCGCTTCCGAGGCAGGTGGTGGAACCACTGAGCTAAATCCCCAGCCCAGTTCTTGGTTTCTACTTTTTCAAATTATCCTCAAGAGATATGATTTGAAATTGATGTATTTTAGAAATGTTCAAAAGTAACTCTGAGTATAGACTTTGTTATGAAGATTGACAGATATGAGTTTACACTAAAATATTTTTAATGGAATATATAGAATTTTCTGATTTAAATAAATGCTTTTCACTAAAAAACTAACATAAAAGTCAAAGTTTCTCAGTAATAGAAACACTAGGTAATGTGCCATTTTATTAACTCTTTATTGTAGCTTCTGCAGGAGCCTGTGGTGTTGTAGCACCATCAGCAGGAACAGTTGCAAGTTCCAGAGCTGTCCTTTTCACTGTGGGGTCTCCTCCACACAGTGCCATGGCCCCTTATTTATACTCATATGGTCCTTCGAACAAGAACCACCTCAGGTGAGGAATGTTTATCTTGGCACAATCTGTGGCTAGTATTTTGGATGTAGTATTATAACTTAGACAAATTATTTAACTTCTCTGCCTCCAGATTCTTTATCAGTGAAGTGGTAATGAGTCTTTTCTGAAAAAGTTATAAGACGCATATGAAGCGGGGCCAGAGATTTAGCTCAGTGGTTCTGCTGCCTGCCTTGCAAGCGGAAAGACCCGAGTTCGATCCCCGGTATCAAAAATAAGGAGCATATGAAGCAATGTTTGTTGGGGGAAAAGCATTTGTAAAGTATAAAACAGTGATACATATTGAATATATTAATCTATAAACATGTTATATATTCATATGTCATGTTTATTGTAATACAAAGTATAATATAAATGTGACTTCTCCTCAAAGCAACAGCTATGTTGAAGTCTCTCTCTTTTTTTTTGGTACCAGGGATTGAGCTCGGGTCCTTGCGCTTGTGCAGCAGGCGGTGAAACCACTGAGCTAAATCCCCAGCCCTGAAGTCTTATTTTAATATTATTATTTAATCAACAAATTATTTTAAAATGTCTTTTTTTGTTTTTTAGAAACCTGTTTTGTTTATTTTGTATTATACTTTAGATCCCTATGTTTGCACTTAATACTATAAATATTTAGACAGATTAATACATATTTTTGTTATCCATTAAGAAAGTATTGGGATAGGACTTCAAATCAGTATATATTATCATCGTCATATGTGCTGTACCTTGTGTCCTTTAATTTCTCTTATTCTACGTAGGTTGCTAATCAAGATATCACATTAATAAACAAAAGATAC